CTGCAGTTGTGGCTGGTCAAGGTGTGGTTGTGGCTGGTGCAACTGTGGTAGGTAGAGCTGTGGGCGTGTTTGCTGTTGCTGTGGTTGTAGTCAGTGCAGCTATGGTTGCTGTCAGTTCTGCTGTGGTAGTTCTCGGTTCTGCTGTAGTGGTGCTCGGGGCATCTGTGGTGGTGGTCAGTACTACTGTGGTTGTGGTGGCTGGGGCACCTTTGGTGATGGTCAGTGCTGTTGTGTTTGTGGTAAATGCTGTTGTAAATCTGATTAGTGCAGCTGTAGTTCCTTCTGTGATTGGGGTATGTGGTTTTGTGGTTGTGGCTGTAACAGTCATGGTTGGTGCAGCAGTGGTTGTGGTTTATGTCGCTGTAGTTGTGGTCAGTTCTGTTGTAGTTGTGTTGGTTGGAGAAACTGTAGTTGTGGTCGATGCAGCTGTAGTTGTTAGTGCAGTTGTGCTTGTGGGTGATGCAACTTTGGTTGTGGTAAGTGCAGTTGTACTTGTGGCTGGTGCAGATTTGGTTCGGGTAAGTGCAGCTGGGGTGGTCTGTGCTGATGCAGTTGTGGTCAGAAAGTGGGTAGTTGTAGTTGCTGAAGTATCGGTTGTTACATCTGTGGTTTGGGCTTGTGCACATGTTGTGGTCAATACAGCTATAATTGTGGCTGGTGGAGCTGTGGGCAGTGCAGCTTTGGTTGTGGTTATTGTTGCTGTATTCAAGGTCGTTACTGTTGTAGTTCTGGTAGGTGCATCTGTAGTTGTGAACAGCGGTTACTTGTCCAGTTGAAGAGAACGTAAGGCAAACATGTTCTCCCAAAATGTTTTCCTCATTCAAAACTAATTGAAAAGTATGAAAATGTTTTTCTTTTACCAGAAAATAGAAGCAGAATTGCACAAATCCTTGCAATCATTGAGATATTATTTTCTGTAGTATCTGGAAATAAATTATATAACGGTCACCAAAGGATAGGATTTTTGTCCACACTGAATAAAATAGCAAATCTAATTGTTAGTTTGTCTTGATCGCTATGGAAGCAAAACAAACAAAAAAACTCAAACAGCATTTAAAATAAAATATAATTTATTTTAATGTTTCCACCCATCTTTATAAAAATATGTAGCTCTTAAAATTTTGATAATTTTGATAAGACCAAGTTAAGATATGAATTTGCTTTCATTTCGCTGATGGAGTTTTAAATGCAATTAAGCAGGTGAACATATAGTTCTGTGCAGGATATTCACAGATGATCTGTTTTCCTGCACTTGTTCATCATCAGTGAATGGAGGAATCTGCAAAATTTAATTTCTTTTTTATAGGCCAAAAAAGACAAGGTCACATTAGACTGCGCTTAAAAGTGTGTGCAGTGATGCATGATTTTTTTGATTGTCAAGGGTGTGGAAACACTGCTTCCTTCCACTTTTTATTTATGCTCCACCAAGACAAGTAAGCGAGTCTTAAGATGACATATTTTTGGAATGACACATGAACTTTTTATGGCTCAAGGTAACTGTGATTTATTTCTGCAATCCTTAATGTGCGTGTATGATGCGTTGTGTAGTTAATATCAACAATAAATGATCAAGCTAAAGTAGCTAAAAGCATTCTTAGACATTAAAAACCTCATTAGTATGTCAACTTCAAACTGTGAAGATTATTTATCAAACCCAAGTGGTTCATTTGACTAGGACTATATCCACATGACATCCAACAAAGTTTGCACGGACAACAAATTTTGAATCGGCTAACCAATCCATAAGTACTAGTGTTCTCTTCTTTTTAGGAGACACCTGCTGAAGTATTAGAACAGAAAGGAAGTGCTTAAGAGACCTGGAGGTTTCTTCTGAATGTTTGCTGCCTGACTTTTAGGATTTGTAAAGAACTTTAGTAACCAAACTTTTATCTTTGTATATATTTTATTGTAATAAATTTCTTCCCTCTTTGATATTTCAGTGTGGTCATTGTATTGCCCTTTCCACCAGATTAAGAACACATGCCCCTAGTGTAACACATGCATAGAATCGCAGTGAAGGGAAATTGAGAGTGGCCAATTACTCTACTGGAACATAAGCAGTATATTTTTAATTATAAAATCTTCTCACCCATAATCATGTAGTGGATTTAGTAGCATTAGGATGTTTTTATTTTTTAATTATTCAATCAATGTATCAATCAATCAATATAGCTATCAACCAGTTAAACGTAATACTCTATTAATAAAATACTAAACAAAGTGTTTTAAAAAGATTTTAAACAAAAAACAAGATTGCGAATAACCATTAACCACAACACCAAAAAAAGCTAAAAACTACAAAACAATGATTTGTAAAATACTGCGATGGACAGACAATGCACAGAAAGTTTATCCATTCTATTCTTGTGCACTGTCTGGAAGATACACTTCTGTTTACAGGGACCTTCAATAGGATTAAGTAGCTTTAAAACGTGGATAAAAGTTTTTTTTTTCCTTTGATTACCTTAAGTAATTTGGAAAAAAAGAGTATGGTTTTTTTGGCTGTTCATCTATTTTTTTCAGTATCTTGTTTTCATCAACAGCACAGGTTCATGCCATGTTTTAACTTACCAGCAACCAGAACTAGAATGAATAAAATCTTTATCATTAACGCTGGATAGGTATTTCCTGTTTCAAAATAACACTAACATTGTTAGCTGTTATATGTAGCTATGAATTTGTTTAAGCTTTCTTTCATATTTATGTTCTTGTACTTACTATGACTTTAAAACATTAGTTCAATGTAATTTACAATGATATGTTGTTATTGTTTTTGATATTTTGTTTCCATTTCTCACATATTGTCAGTTTTTTCTTCTTTCCCCTAACTACCCATGTTTATTTTGTGAATTTTTTTCAAAACAATGCAGCCATTGCATTTCTACAGAACTGCATCATAAGAGCATTTTTTACTTAATTCATATATTGTCATTTCACAATTGTTTTTTTAAGGCATTGCACCAAAAAACTCTTTTAATTGTGATAGACAAATAAATAATCAAAGAAGTTCCATTATATATACAGATATAAATTAAGTTATATACATTCCAATTTGACCAATCCTAAAATAAAATGCAGAAACATTCAATTTATAATGCCAGTTGTAAAAAAGGTTTATATATAAGGAAACCCAGGTGATTGCAATGAATGACCGTTGCTGTTTCGAGCAGCAACCCCTGCTGAGCAACTCCAAAAAAGAGTTATATAGATCATTGATAAGTTATTTTTGGACCATTACACATTAATAAAATTGATAAAAGGTAACAGCAATGATTGACATTTATCAGAAGTGTAGCACTTACAAGTTGTGCCTGATGAGTTGCCTTCACTGCAGTGACAGAAGTTATGATGCTCTCTGATCCTTTCTGTTTGTCTCTTGGCTAATACAGTTTACCAGTTTAAAGCAAAACTGTCAGGATCTCTGTGTTGTCTTTTGTTGTTGTGCACTTTGCTTGGCCTCTAGGTGGCTCTGGGTTTGTGAGGAGTGGTGACAGGTGTTCCTTATTCCCTAATCATCCCTGGAGGGTATTTAAGATGGAGGCCGCCAGCAATTCAGCACCAGAGTGTTGCCCTCAGTGGAATAGACTCAAGCCACAGTTAACCTAGCTTTCTTTTTGAAATCCAAATAATTTTGTATGTGCTCCTTTGCAGGCCGGATACCTGGGCCTGACCTTGTCTTCAAACCATCCTTGCTACTTTGGATTTTAACATTGGAGAAGGGTCTCCAAACTACTTGGATTATACCTGGTTTGCCTACCCTCTGCCTCCGGAACTACTGGCTGGCGGCTATTCCGATGGTGCCCTTCTTGGAACTACTACGGACCTCCACAAGCGAACCCTGTCCACCCTCCCACACAATAACATCACCAACAGAACCTCAGAGTTATCTCAAAGGGAGTTCAAGTACTTGCCTGCTCCGTTCATCTCAGTGTGCAGCTCCGTTGTTGTCTCACCCCCTCCTGGTGGATCAACCTCCACTAGTAAGGCAGATTTGTTATTATATAATATTCACCATTTAGATTCATACATTCTTACCGTGTCTACTGACCTTGCAGTTGTCCTCCGCCCCTTTCCCCTCGCTCACTGTAAAATAAAGCCTTGTTAAACTTTATCTGTCTCCTGATTGCTTACTGCATGTGGGTCAAAATAATCTGTAAAACTATGACAAAAACCTTTTATATCCACCAAAATCAGGTACTGTGACATCAGATTATGCCAAGATGGAAATAAGTCAGTATTTCTATGAACAATGCTTGATTTTAGATAAATTAGTAACATTTGTGTATGTTTTAAATCAACAGTTAATGCTGTAAAGAAAACACAACTAATTAAATGTTAGTCAGTAAAGCTTCATGTGTGTGCTCTTCACAGTCAATCATATGTATTTTAACCTCTTAACCCGAAGGGGTTTTGTGGAGTTTGACCTCAAAATAACGTGCAAATCTAAAAATTTTTCTGAGAATTGACATATCCTATTGAAACATTCATTGTTAATTATTATGTTTTTCAAATGGAAATGATAATTCTGGCATTCCTTTGCTGCTGGTTGAGTAAAACCTGGGTGGATAGCGACGAAATGTACTTTTTGGAATCTGTGAGCTCTCTGCTTACAGCAGACATGCATGCTGGTTGTGTGTGGTGAACAGCTGAGACCAAGTTTTGTGGTTATGTCATTTTGTGGAGTTTGTTTTTTTCTGATTCAACTGCCTTTAGTTTGAACTGTCAGTCAGTCATTGTCTACCACTTATTCCATAGTGGGTCGGGGGAGCTGGTGCCTATCCCCAGCAGTCTATGGGCGGGAGGCGGGGTACACCCTGGACAGGTCGCCAGTCCATTGCAGGGCAACACACAAACAACCATGCACACACTCATTCATACACCTAAGGGCAATTTAGAGTGACCAATTAACCTAACAGGCATGTCTTTGGACTGTGGAGGAAGGCGGAGTACGCGGTAAGAACCCACGGGGAGAACATGCAAACTCCATGCAGAAAGACCCCTGGCCGGGAATCGAACCCAGGACCTTCTTGCTAGGCAAGGCAAGGCAACAGTGCTACCAACTGCGCCACTGTGCAGCCCTAGTTTGAACTGTTTTTGGTGTTTATAGAAATGGTTTATATCAGCTTTTAGCCAAGATTCTACTATTTATGTGGATACCACATATGTTAATGTTTAACTAATGGAACTTGCAGTAAAGAAAGTAGAAGAAAACAAAAGTTAAATTCTGCCACCAGTACTGTAGGGGGTTGGGCTTAAGATTTTTTTTTTTTTGTTTGTGACAGCTTTGTCTTATTTTGGTTTTATACCAAACCAATGCCAAAGCCATTTTTTTCTGAATAATGGTTTGATGGAATGTTTCAGTGCTTTGAACTGTTTGTGACTTAAATTAATGGACTATTATTGAAGAGAATGTGCCTATTTAGATAAACATCTGAAGATAGACCATTTTAATGGTCTGAGTGTTATCACAAATATTAACGCCTATTGTACTTTTAAAAGGCCGGCTGCACTCTAAGTCTCAACTTTTGACTTCCACGGGAGCTTTTAAATGCTTGTTATTAAATTATTTGTTTGGGTATTTAAGATAGAGATAGATCTGTGGGTGGTCAGTCTGTTAAAATTTACTTTAAAGGACATGCAGTGGGCACACTAAAACCAATGTCTAACGCTCAGCCTTGCTTACACGGTTCTGATGTTTGTACAATATAACTGTTGTGCAGGTAATGGCAGATACACTGCTGGTTTAAGCACCAATTACTAGCCTCTTGTGTTTCTTTTGTTTTGTTTTGGGGTTTGAATACAAGTTTATAGAAAATCCTAGAGAACTGGGGACCTGTCCAGGGTCAATTGATTGTAGGGCTAGGATCCGGTTTCTCTGTGACTTTGTTTTCTTAGAATTTCTATCATAGAGCTAAGCCTGGCACAATTTGAAAAAATATTTTGAATTGCTGAGTATGTAACTCTAATAAGCTCAAGCTAACAGCAGTTTTTGAAGACATGAAGACAATGTTTTGTGATTCAAATGGGAGCACCTTTTAAAAAGGTTTTTTATGACTCAGTTACAACTAAAGGTATTTCTCAGGTCACACCCTTGGAGCAAAACTTGCAGTATTTAGACAAGTTTGCTGTTGTCACACAAGCACTTGACCAGTTTTCATGTCAGAAGCAATAACACTAAGCGCCTGATCTTCAAAGGGTTTGCGTGTACAAAAACACAAACCTGTTTGCGTCAGCAAAGCTGATCTACAAACATAGATATGCATAGATAGAATGACAGGGACAGTGAATCTTCTGTACATGTGCCAACAGATTTGGGTTGTCAAAAATAAAAATATTTAAAGAAGATGAGAATAGAGGATTCTTTGTAGGATTATCTAAGCTCTGATTTGGAGCTAATCACATACAAAAGCCTTGATATTTCTCCTATTTTAAAACTCAGAGTCACTGACAAGGGTGTTCATCCTTAAATGTATCAGAAACCTGCAATGCAAGTAGTCTGTCAAAAAGGTTTATGTAACACTACAAATGTCCAAGTCTCCTAAGTATGACATCCGTTTATAAGAAGAGTATTCAGTGGTTGAATCGGTCAGCCCTGATGATCCACTCAGGAGACCTAATTGTTCATTGTAGTCTGGACATGTCTTACTTAGTGGATGGGCCAAACCACACAGTGATGGATGTGCACAGGAGATAATGTGGAAGATGACCAGCAGGTCCTGTGGAAGGTTGTATTTCTTGAGTTGCCGTGTAAGTACAAACTCTGCTGGGCCTTCTTCTGAACAGTTTGTGAGGACCACCTCAGGTCTCGAGAAAGGGTGGTTCCTAGAAACCGGCAGTGATCAACAGTAGATAAAGTATTGTTGAGGATGATGAGGGGAGGACATTTTGTGGGAGTTCTCCGGAACTCCACCGTCATCTCCCCAGTCTTCAGTCTTGGCTCTGACTACACCAGTGTACCAGCTGATCCACCTCCTGTCTATATGCAGACTCGTTACTGTGTTGGATGAGACCAATCACAGTGGTGTCATCTGCAAACCTTAGGGGTTTAACTGATAGGTCCGCTGAGGTGCAACCATTTGTCTACAGGGTGAAGAGAAGAGGGGAGAGAACACACCTCTAGGGTGCACCACTGCTGATGGTTCTTGTGCCGGAGAAGATGCTCCCCAGCCTCACCTGCTGGTGCTGATCAGTCAGGAAGCTGGTGATCCACTGACAGGTAGAGGCTGGCACTGTGAGCTGGGTGAGCTTCTGGTGGAGGATATCTCAGTTGATGATGTTGAAGGCAGAGCTGTAGTTCACAAACAGGATCCTGGCATACAACCTAAGGTGGTCGAGATGATCAGGATGAACCGTAGTCCCATGTTGACTGGCTCATCTGCTGATCTGTTTGCCTGGTGATTACTGCAACAGAGTCTTTACTGGCCTGTAGAAAAATCATTCAGCCAGCTGGAGCAGATCTAAAATGCTGCTGCCAGAGTGCTGACCAAAACCAGAAAAATGGATTATATAGCCTCAGTTCCTTTTCTGTTAAAGAATAGATTTAAAAATTCTTCTATTCAACTAACCCTCCTTGAACCGCCACCTTAAAGTGGTGGAGGGGTTTGAGTGCTCAAATGATCTTAGAAGCTATGTTTTCTGGGTCTTTAATGCCCCTGGTAGGGTCCCCCTTGGCAAAAAGGTTCTGGGTGACAGGTCAGACAAAGAGCAGTTCAAGGCACCTTCATGAGGACCATACAATCGAGGCGGAGCCGCGGTCCCACCCTGGAGCCAGGCCTGGGGTCGGGACTCGTCGAGCGCCTGGTGGCAGGGCTGCTCCTTGCGGGACCCGGCCGGGCCAAGCCTGAAAGAGAGACGCGAGGCCATCCCCCAGTGGGCCCACCACCTGCAGGGGGAATCATGAGGGACCGGTGAAAAGAGGATTGGGCAGCGGACGAGGGTGGAGACCTTGGCGGCCCGATCACCGGATGCTTAGGCTGGCTCTAGGGACATGGAATGTCACCTCGCTGGGAGGGATATCGACTAGAAATAGTCGGGCTCACTTCCACGCACAGCGTGCCGTGTGGAACCCATCTCTCCTCCAGAGATAGGCTCCCAGAGTGGCCCACAGGGAGATGCGGCGGGCTAGGGTGGGTTTGCTTGTTGCCCCCCAGCTCAGGCGTCTCGTTTTGGGGTTTACCCCAGTGGATGGAAGGGTTGCATCCCTGCGCCTTCGGCTTGGGGACAGGTCTCTGACTGTCATTTCGACCTACGGGCCAAGCGGTAGTGCGGCGTACCTGGCCTTCTTGGCGTCCCTTCCCCTCCCGGGGCGCTATGCAGACCTTCGGCTCCATGGCCTCATGGAGGCCCGAGTTTTTGCCTCTGCCACAACTCGGGCCTTTGTGAGGCCATGGAGAAGGGCTACCGGTTGCCCTCAAAGTGGTTCTGGCACACCATTCAGTGCCTCAGGAGGGGGAAGCAGTGCTTCGCCAACACTGTTTACAGTCGGGGTGGGGAGCTGCTGACCTCGACTGGGGAGAAGGCATTCGACTGTGTCCCTCGTGGTGCCCTGTGGGGGGTGCTCCAGGAGTACGGAGTCGGGGGCCCTTTATTATGGGCCATCCAGTCTCTGTACAAGGGGAGCAGGAGTTTGGTCTGCATTGCTGGCACTAAGTCGGACCTGTTCACATTGCATGATGGACTCTGGCAGGGCTTCCCTTTGTCACCGGTCCTGTTCATAACTTTTATGATCAGGATTTCTAGGCGCAACCAAGGGCCGGAGGGGGTCTGGTTTGGAGACCAGTAGATATCGTCTCTTTTTTTTTTGCAGATGACCTGGTCCTGCTGGCTCCCTCTAGCCACGACCTACAGCATGCGCTGGGGAGGTTTGCGGCCGAATGTGAAGCGACTGGAATGGCCATCAGCTCCTCCAAGTCCGAGCCCATGGTACTCGACCGGAAAAGGGTGGCTTGTCCTCTTCAGGTTGGAGGGGAGTTCCTGCCTCAAGTGGAGAAGTTCAAGTATCTTAGGGTCTTGTGCATGAATGAGGGGAGAATGGAGGATCTGCAATAATGGGGATGCTGTGCCAGTCCGTTGTGGTGAAGAGAGAGCTGAGCCAAAAAGTGAAGCTATCGATTTACTGGTCGGTCTATGTTCCTACCCTCACCTGTGGCCATGAACTTTGGGTCATGACCCAAAGAACGACATCCCGGATACAAGCGGCTAAAATGAGCTTACTCCGTAGGGTGGCCGGGCACTCGCTTACGGATAGGGTGAGGAGCTTGGCCATCCGGGAGGAGCTCGGAGTAGAGCCACTGCTCCTCCACGTCAAGAGGAACCAGTTGAGGTGACTCGGGCATCTATACTGGATGCCTCCTGGACACCTTCCTCAGGAGGTGTTCCAGGCACGTCCCAGTTGGAGGAGGCCCAGGGGTGTCTCTACTGAGTCTGCTGCCCCCGCGACACGGTCCCGGATGAAGCAGAAGATGACGAGTATGAGTACGAGTATGAGCTATTCGGCTAAAATGCATTTCTGCATTGCTTGTCATGTACGAACCATGGAGACCACTGAATTCTTCAGAAACGTGCTCACTCAATGTTCTAATTCATGTACATACTTATCATTTACCTCTCATTTTTACGTTTATGCCATTGTTTGTGTAACTTAGATTAACTCAAAACCATATTGAAAAATTACACAGCATACAAAGTAATGCAACTTAAATTTTAAAACAGTTGGCATATGCCTGAATGAAGTAATAGCTAATGGTCAAAAGCTGACAAATGATTTCATAACAAGCACAAAGTTGAATTCATTAAAAAGTTTTCTGTAAATGCTAAAAAACTGTTGTATTTTAAATTAGCTTAATGGTTTATTCAAAATTTTATATGCCCTCCTAATGTTCAGGTTTTTATAGACATGTAGACAAAACCCAGTAGTTAGTGGACTAGAGATATGAAACATTTGCACAACAGCATATCAATTCTGATAACTTTAAATAAGGAATAAATAGTGGACACACATAGATAATCTCCAGCAATAGCTAAAAGGCAGCTGAACCCATGCCAAGTATTAATAAAACACTAGTTTTAA